TTGTTATTAATAGCAATACCATTGTTGTTATTAATTGTATTGTTTGAATTTGAAATATTTTTCTCGTCAGATTTTTCTGAATGAGGGAATTTCTTTTGAGCGTCATCAAATTGTGCATTCCAATATGATTCATTATTCCCACCACTCCTATCATTATTACCATTATTATTATTTTTTAGTTCATTATTTAATTGCTTGTCAAATTGATGTTGTTTTTGTAATATATTTACTGTAGAGTTGTATATGTTTTTATTGATTTCACTTTGAATTTGCTCTGGAGTTTGTTTAATTAATGACGGGGTCCTTGATGCTGGTTTGGAAGAAGCAGTATGTGACTTGAATGCAGCAGATAAAACATAACTACCTTTTGTGCCATCATCTATTTTTGTATTAGAAGCATTAGCAGAGATGGCTCCTTCATCAATATTGTTGTTATTATTATAACTACTGTTAACATCTGTAGTTTGATTATTATTTTGTTTAAAAGAAAGCTTTGTTTCCGTTGGATAAGTTAGATCATTAATTAGTTCATTAATATCATTATTTTTATCAATCTTGTTTGTAATAGTTTCACGAAAACTTGATTCTGATAAAGCAGAATCTGTGGTGTTTAGTTGTGTAGAGGAAGGAGGCGAATAAGCAGCAGAGCTGGAAACTGATTCAGGAGAAGATGGTGTTTTGATGTTTTCTTCAATTTTTTGACTAAGTGAACGAGTAAGAATTGAAGTGGTCTTGTTTGGAGAAGGATATACCCTTGGACCATACAAACCTCCTACTTTCCTCTCAGTTGAATAAGTGGGAATAGAATCAACAATAATCGAAGAGGAGGAGGAGGAGGAGGAGGAGGAGAAGGTAGAAGGAGGAGAAGAAGGACTTAAAATTACATTATTAATATTGTTATTGTTATTGGATGGAACAGTTGAAGTTATTGGACTTTTTGGTGGCGTTATTAAACTTGAACGTTTAGGAGGTGCTTTATTCTTTAAATTTTTTAAATAATTTGCTAAAAAAAAATATAAATTATTAATGATATTATCATCAGTTAGAAACAATTTATTGGGGATAAATAAAGTATTAGTCTCGGACAGAATTCAAAAAACTTTACCAAGTTCATCTTTTGTAAGATTTTTTTTATCATTCATCTTTATTATAAATTGTTGTTAAAAAAAAATTTGAGTTTTAAATCGAAAAAAAAAATAAATCATCCCAATATGGTAATGGGGTTGAATAACTCCTTTATTTATAAAGAAGGTTGTAAGACAAACATGACACAATTGTACTTCTCTTGTCACATCAGGTATCGAGCATAATTAGAAATTTCATATCACGAAACGTTAAATATAAAAAAAGAACTTTTCTTTCGTTATTACTAATTATGGTACAATAATAATTTTTCTTTTCAACTTTTCAATAAAAAAAGGTGTATATTGCATTTTTTTTACTCCTATAACTTTTAGACTCCCTGCTGAGCCGATCATCATTTTTGACAACAAAATAATATAAATAAATAGTTTGTTTTATATGTAATAGTAGTATTATGTGGTTTGTTGGAATGCTAAAATCTCAATTAAGGTTTTGGTATGTGGTACAAAATGAAATGTTTCGGAAAAAAAACACCAGATCGACAAAAATGTAACTCGATCATCAATCATTATTATTTTCTTATTTTGTATTTTGTCAAAAAATAATTATTTTTTTGATTACTTGTTATTCAATTAAATTACTTATTAGATTCGTATTTGTTTTTAACAAATGTTTATATTGAATATAAATAAGCTATAATTTCAACGAGCTTGGAAAAAATATTGTGTATGTACATTGTATCGCTGTATGTAATATGCTGCATACATCCCATTTTCGACTTTCTCAAAAAGGAACCCAACACCGAAACTCCTATATATTACTATAGTAAATAAAAAAATATGAATGATTTACATAAAATCGGATCTTTTTTTAAATTTAATATTAAATACACGTGACGTTTGAAATTTTTTCTTATGAAAAATGGAAATTTACTCTGAAACCAAGCTATCGATAATTACATTCGCAAAGAAATCGTGAACCGAAATTTTATTCTTGCATTCATTTTATTGGCCAAACTTTCCATGGTTGATACTATTCCACATCAACTTCATAAAAAAGATGCTACTGTCTTCTATCTCTATTGAAGAAGATAACTACCCTTACTCACTGTAACATTTTCAGATCGTATCGTTCCCAGAGGAACCGCTGATTTCATTGTTACCGGAAAACTAGCGAAAGATATCGCCTCAGGTCCCGAAGTTATTATTGTATTTGGCGAGCCCATATTTTCCCATTTACTGCGGATGTTTACTATATTCAGTGGAAGTTCGGATACCAGCAGATTTACCTAAATTCTAGTTACTGCTTTAGATTCATCTTCTGAGGCTGTTGTAGGCTGTGCATCGGGTGATGCTGCATTTATTGAGAATACAACCAAAATTTTCGATTTTGACATAAATGTTGATAAAAACATGAAAGGAAATTGGTTTATTCTATCAATACTTAACCAATTTTAGAAATTAGTTAAAGGGGCAATTGACGCCAACTAGATCGCTAGCAAAACATTATTAATATTATCAAAACCTAAAATTCCTACCCCAGAATTCGGTTTTTTTAAGTTAGAAATAATCTATTAACGTTAATTATTTGGCACTAATTAAACAGCGTTTTTACAACGGATACTAATTAATATTAAATTATTATTATAAATTTATTATTTTATATTGTAAATCAATTTCATGCTTATTTATATCACATAGTTCGATTTTACTTGATAGTATAGTCATAATAACCGGTTTCGCCGACAAAATCGTTCGTTAGTAAGATGTATAAAAGAACATTCGACTTTCTAGTTTAAATAATCATATAATATATTGAATTTATTAATTTTATCCAATGAATTTGTCCTCAAGTTATTTTTACGAATATACAACAGATCACTTTATTGAAAATATTCATGTTTATGTAGAAAATATAGTTAAAACATTACAATTAATCTATATATAATAATGAAGCACTTCATAAAAATTGACAGATAAATGTTTAGAAACAGTTTGTGATAATAGCGACAGATTATTTGGGTCAAGTGAATTTAATTCATATCATCATCATATTGACGGCTGTTCTTGGAAGAGATGTATTAATGAAATAAATAAATGTATGGAAAAGGAGTAATTATATGTTAATATTACTTATTAGTCAGTATTTTTCCTAAGGATTTATGGGAAACTTTTATGGATTATTATTTATCCTCCACTTTAGATTTATTACCATCATAATCAAAGAGTAGATTCAGACCAGACCAAAACTTGTTGGTCTCAATAGGCTCGGTCCATTACCATCAATAAAATACTAAATTGTGACACCAATAGTCCAGCGTCATAGCCAACCTTTGGTTTAGATCTGAAAACTTGGAAATGGATATAAATAAATAATGGAAATGGTATACAAATTTAATTATGTTACTAATAATAATCAAAATATTTAAAATATTTACCATATTTAGATAGTGGTGATGTATATTTTCAACAAGATGGTAGTCTTACTGACAAGTAAAAAACCTATAGGCAGTAAATTTGATGAGTTGATTTTCCAATAATTAATATTAAGCTTATAAATAATAAAAAATAAAAATAAAAAAATAAAAATAAAATAAAAATAAAAAAAAAGGATTACAAATCCAACTTCTCCGTTCTCAAATAGATTAGCTCCGTTTGTAATTTTGGATTTTCAATTTTTCATTTCTAGAAGACCGACCATCTGGGAACAGGAGAGACCGTTCTGGGAACACAAAATTTTAACCCATGCCATTTGTTGATTGACCAATTAAAATCACGAATTTGATAAACGTAGAAATAAATATGGGTTTGATTCATTTTGTCAACCATCACTTCACCAACAATTGTTTCATTAACGAATTTAAGAAGTTGGAAGAAATAGTCTAATAAATTAAATCGTACTACTCGAAATGTATTTAAAGGGTTGGTTTTTGACTTGGTCAAAGAATAACTCTCTTCCTAACTTTTCTCTTGACCATATCTCTCGATATAATCCAAATAACCTTAATTTGCAGATTGTTTATCAACCAGGGGATTTTAATAGAAAATGTGGGGCACGTTTACTAATTAAAAAAAATAATTGACCATGTTTGTAAAATGGTTATACAATGTATAAAATTTATATTTCACTAAATTTGGTTTATAACTATAGAAAAAATGTCAAAAAACATGAAAATAAAAAAAAAATTGTATTTTATTATACTCAATAAAAAAAAGCTATGTAAGTAGTCAATATTGAGAAGGGTTTTTTATATATAAAATGTATGTCGATCAAAAATTTTTTATTTAATTCACGGAATTTATATATATTAATATATATATGTATATATTTACATAAATATATATTTTTATTTATTTTCAAAATAATGGCAACTACTTCTATAGTAAATCATAACAAACAAAAAAATTTTTATAAATTATTATCTTGTGGTTCTATTGTTCCAGAAATTCATTATGGTCCATTTTCTATAAATTGGTGGACCACATCAATACAAAAAAATAATGCTTTACCATATAGAATAGGAATGAAAGTGCAAGTGGAGCTATCTAATATTATCTTTTTAATGGAAATAGTTCTTAATACAGATTTAAAACCTGGCTTTAGTTGTGAGGTAGGTGAAGAATCAATTGTATGCGAAACACCTTCTGCAGCAATCAATTATATGTACAAAAAAATTACAAATAAGAAAGGAACAACATATTCTGGAAATGTTGTGTTAGGATTTGATAATTTAGAAGTAACAAATGAATTATTGAAGGATGTAGATTTTCAACCTTTCATGGTTACTTTAGACAATATAAATATTTTTATTTTTGCAATTGGTTCAGGATGGAATGCAAATTGGGATGGTTTTGGTGAAGGATTTTGTTCATCTTTCACATCAAGATTCAAATCAGAATCATGACATTTTGTGCAAAAGATAATTAAAAACAATTGCATAATTGAGATCTATAAAGGTAATGAATGTATAACAAATTTTAATGGAACAACCCCAACAGAGGTTTGGAAAAAGACTGGAGTTTTAAAAAAATACAAAGGTGAAGAGCTTTTTGGTGTTTCACATACAGTTGTGTCAAATGAATTTCAAAATATCAACAACAACAATCAACAACTGCTACTTGTTTGCCAGAAGAGTGGAAAAATCGAGAAATTATTGATAAAATTTTTGAAGATAATCTCAAAAAAAAAATAGGTGTATCAGGGTTAAATTGGTACTCTATTTTTGATAGTTTTTATGAACAAAAAAGCTCCATAATTGAATTGACTTCATCTTTAAAAAAAATTTATCCACAAGAACATGAGTTTACTTCTCATGAGCTTAGAGCTTGGCATACAATGATGTCAAGAGTAGGTTGTCATGATGTAACACCATATCCAAAAGAGAATTCAAAGGTATAGAACATTTATTGCTTTATGTAATTTCATATAAACAATAGAAATTTATATATCTTTGATTTTCTGTTAGAGTATTGGAGTAAATCAAAAGATCCTACATTAGATCATGAAAATTTATTGAATTTATACCAAATCGGAGTCTTGAGTAATTCAAATGAGACAAGATTTTGGGATTCATTTAGTAAATCTATTGGTGCCAATGTCAGAGGAATGAATGGCAAACAAAAAATTTTGTCCATAATTGCTGATGAATTTAAATATGAAGAATTAGAATCAAAGTTAAAGGTAATTGATATAATTTTCTGATTTAATTTTCAAAAAATTTGTCATTTTATTATATTGTAATCATGTATTAGGTATCAAGAGATTTAATTACATCAGCAAGAAGATATAGTAGACTTAATGGTCCTGGTGGTATTGCATTATCCAAACCTATATTTAAAAGAAAAAAAATGATTGAAGGTAAAGAAAAACAATTTGAGGCTTATAAAGTGGATGCAAAGACAAATATGCCAATATTGTATTTGAGAGATCAAAAATCGGAACTATGGAATAAATTTTCACAAGAATATCCTGATGGCATGAAAAAAACTTCCTTTATGGCCAGATTGGAAAATGGACCATTCAAATATAGAGAGGATCTTGGTGGGCTATGTTCAATATGTAACACATATGGATACCAAATTTTTGAAGATTTACTGGCCTTAGTAAAGTCAGATATTATTGATAAAAATATGCAGGTAAGTTTATCAAGTTTATTAAATAATTATTCTAAATCTTATATCATTATATTTTACTTAGAATCAATTCATTCATGAGATTGAACTTGTACAATTTCATCTTAAACGAGGATTTGAAAAACACATTCTTGTTTCAAAAGAAGGCAAAACATTACATAATGATCGCATCAATCATTGCTTACTTTATGCATTTAATGCATGCAATGAAGTACATTTATCAAGATGCAATGAGTGTGATAAAGTTTTTGATTTATTTATTAATTTGAAAAACCATATTTCAGAAACTAAACAACAGTTATTAGAAGAAAAAAAAGATTATTTGTTTTATTATTGGTCTCATCAAGCTCGTAAAGTATATTTGAATTCTCAATTTCAAGCCAATTTACTAGAAATAATAGATGATGAAGGTGCAGTTATTGTGGCAGATTACAAGATGCAAATTTTGCCAAAATCTGCAAGAGAAACAAAAGAAAGTTTCTATGGAAAAAAAGGTTGGACACTACACACAATATTAGTTTTTACTAAATCACAAAATGCTAAAGAAGAATTGGAACTGACTGCCTATGACCATTGGTCTAATGATACCAAGCAGGATGCTTGGTTCACTGCATCTTCATTTGATTGTGTATTTGAAACACTTGATCCAAAACCTAAATGGATTAAAGTTATTACTGATAATGGTCCACATTATCATTGCTCAGAACTTATGACAATAATAACAAATTGGTATGATTGGTATGGGATAGAAATTCGTGAATGGACATTTTTGGAACCAGGAGAAGCAAAGACCACTATAGATTCACACCATGCATCTGTAAGTTATCCTATATTTATTTGCATAAATTTAAAAAAAAAAAAAGAAATAAATATTGTTGTAGCCATCTCTATCTGAATTACTAAATAAGTGGAAATGAATTTCAAATTTTCAGATATATATTAAATTTTTACCAATTTATGTTAGATTGCTCATGCAATAAAAAGATATATTAGGATTGGTTTTGATTTGAATAGTGGTGCTGATATTGAAAATTCCTCCAAGGGTGTTCGAGGAACAAGAATAGCCAATCTACAACCAAATAGAATGGAGCATGTTAATGTTAAGACATTGTCTGGAGTTTCTAATTGGTTTAATTGGAGGTGGCCAAAAGATGGAGATTTAGCTGGATATATCCAAGTACGAGAACTACCATATATTGGTCAATGGAAAGATATTTCTCAACTCAAATTTCTAAATTAATGAAAGCATCAATTCAAAAACCAACCCCAACTAATACTCCACATTCAATTCCTAAAACTATTTGGACTATGCCACAGCTAAGGAACCCTCAAAATTATAGTTTGTATAAAATCTGTTTTTATAAAGTATTTCTTATAATGAAAATTTTTTATAAACTAATAATATTGTTATGTGAATAATTAGATAAAATATTAGTTGATGAGTTAAATACACTATCAACACTTGATTCACAATGCAAGCATAATTTTTTTTTTTTTATAATATAAATAAAATTTGAAAAAATAGTCTTATCTTATTCAATTATTAGCTCAACCACTTGAATTAACATTTGAACTTTCTAAAGGCTGGGCACTAAAAGGTAACCAGAAATATGGACAGAAAGGTGGTGGTAATCGTATGTCCATACAAATTACAAGCTTATTAGAAAGTTTCTTTCTAGCTGGAGAAGCTAACAAAACTAGAAAATATACAGCTGAAACTATGTTGGGAAAGTTAAATGGTATGGTAGAAGAAGATGAAATTGACAAAAATGAGGTTCCAAAACTCCAAACTATTCGTGGATGGATATCCACTTATGCAGCAGTATTTAAAAAGAAAAATGCTAAGAGAACATTATCAGAAATTACTTCAACTCAAATGAGTAGAAAACATAGTAATACAGAAATTTGATCAACATACATATATAAAATATCAAAAAAAACTTCTCAATATTGACTACTTACATAGCTTTTTTTTTATTGAGTATAATAAAATACAATTTTTATTTCATTTTCATGTTTTTTGACATTTTTTCCATCATAGTAAATAAAATTTAGTGAAAAATAAATTTTATATGTTGTATAACCATTTTACAAACATGGTCAATTATTTTTTTTAATTAGTAAATGTGCTGTAAATGTGCCCCGCATTTTCTATTAAAATCCCCTGGTTGATAAACGATCTGCGAATTAATAATGCTTACCAATAGGCCAGGGTGCATTTCCAATGGAAAAGTCTCAAATATGCATCATTTGCATTCATATATTGTCTTTTTATAAATAAATAACATATATGTATGTAAATTTGGTATTTATGATTATTATAATTATTATAAAATATTATAATACACACTTTTTTCTTAAGTAATCTAAAAAATGGTTGCAAAGATTCATTGATTGTTTTTGAGTAGCTGCAGCTAAACACGTCTTCTTTAGGAGATTCACATTTTGTCATCTTTGGACTGTCAAAAAATAAATTGTTTTTCCAAATCTTTTGTGCAACACTGTTGTATAAAATTTGGGGGATAAATATTGAAGTATAGGGACATTCAGTATGATATAACTCTTGCAAAACGTATGGTATGGTATTGTATACTAATGCTTAAATCTAACATACTTCCCTTCACACCCACCAAAAAAGGATTTAGAATAAAATTTTGTGTGACTTGGTATGGAAAAACATGGGCTATACCATACCATACCATACGTTCTGCAAGAGTTATACCATACTGAATCTCTCCCTACTGTAAATATTGAGATTGATATTTTTTCACAATGACTGATTTTAATATATGATCAACATGTCAAAAGGGTTGGTAGAAACCGCCAAAACTATAGTTTCAGCTAGGGTTTCTATTCGAATAAGGCTCATTCAAAATAATTGTTTTATTTGTTATGAATTTGAATATTCAATTACATTGAAGGTTTATTTGAATAATTCACAAATAAAGTGAATAAAATGAATAAAACAAGTAATTTGAGTGATTTGAATAAAATGAATAATTTGAATAAAATGAATAAACAAGTAATTCAAATAATTCGAATTAAATAAAACGAATAGAAACTCTAGATTAAATAATAATAATTAATTAAAATAATTGATTATTTAGTTGACTATTTATTAGAATATTAATAAAAAAAAATTTAGTCAATATACTAGCAGTAGGTTAAACTATGGTGAAACTATGTTAAAAATCTTACTAGCAGTTATACCAAAAGTCGACTATGGTTTCTGCATTTCAGAATGATTTGCCAAGCAAATTAGTACTTCTTCATCCTCCTTTCAGTCCCTTTCTTCTTGTGTAAATTTTTTTACAAATTTGGACCTTGGAATTGGCATTCAATTAAAACAACTGAGTTAGGTTATGTTGCTAAAGAATTTTTAGCACATGTATTAATTCAGTGTCAATAAAAAGGCCTTGGTCTTCAGCAGGATTTTTACATTCTTCACATAGAAATAGACTTCATGTATGTTAGAATTTTTCTTAATATTATAATAACATTTTTATTATAGTATAATAAAGTTATTACAATGGCTCAAATTTGAGGAATTATACACCAAGCATATAGAAATAAAGAACTTGAGATTATTAAAAATATGTATCACTCTAATAATGCTCAAAATTTAGACCAAGATGAAGTTAATTCAATTGAAATTGATGAAGAAGATTTGAATCACAATGAATTTGATTTTGAAGACTTTGAAGATTTAGATGAAAATATAATTGGTAATAATAATAGTAAAGGTTGTGACTTTGTAATAACTGATAAATCTCCTTGGTCTAGTAAAATTGTAAATCATTAAACAACCCATTGAAGAATAAAATTGAATCTGTTAACTAAGATATCTCAACATGTAGATTCTTGCTAATTCCAAGAATATTGATAATATTGTCAAAATATAATTGATCTATATAGGATGCCATTAAAATAAAGAAATTTTTTTGGCACAGTAGTTTTCATTTGAGCACATGATCTAAAAATTCTTTCTTGAATCTAACAAAGTATAATCACAACTCAAGATTAGGTTTGACATTTCTTTATTTGATCAATGAATGGCTTAATTGTTTCTGTGAGCATAAGTAGCTTTGTAGAATTAAAAACAGTTTTAAATCCTTAATATTTATTATTAAATGAAAATTACATGCTAAATTAGATCCTCCCCGATGCATCCCCCCATCAGATTGATGATACATTAAACATTAAGATATAAATATAATAAAATTATAAAAAAAGAAATTATTAGACTTAATATTATAACATCACGTCTCTTCCTTTTATTTATTTTCCCTATTAAACTATTAATATTAGGGAAAATATCTGTTAAAAAAAATTTAAAAAGTCAGTAAATTAGAAAATAAATACAATAATTAATCAAAAAACTTTTTTTAAAAATAAATACTTTTTAAATTTCTAATTCTGCTATTTGAATTTAATAAAATAGCTCTATCTCTTTCGATTGCATCCCTTGTCTCAAATGCTTGTCTATAAAATAAGTAAATAATTTTGGTTAGCAAAAAAATTAAATAATTCATTGACTATTTATAATAAATATATTTACTCAATAATCATATCAGTCATTTTGTTTGAATTTTCAATTTTACCACGCTCCCTTAAAAAATAATCCGTTTCACTACTGGCACCTGATTTATAAGAGCTTTTGGAAGAAAAAAATCATAAAATCAATCTTGATGAGATTATTATTATCTTATCAATTTTTAAAAAATTGTCTAAATACCTAATATCATCTCTAACAGATTTTAATAAGTCTGATTTATTTTTTACAGCTTCTAGATTCATCTTTGAAATTAAAAATGAATTAAAATTATATATTTGTTCAATTTATATTTATATCTATATTTATATTTACCTTTATTTTTTGAAATTCTCTTGAATAGTCAAATAAAATATCTTTATGTCTATTAAGTATATGATTAATAGATGAAGTGTTTGTTGATTCATTTTTAACAATATTTGACATGGCATTTACACATATTTTCAACTAATAAATAAAATAATAAAATAAATAAAAAAATCAAAGGAAGAAAAAAAATAAGGATAAAATATCTCACCTTGTTTATTAATTCTTCCAGATGCAATTCTGCTACTTCACTTGAACTCTCTATTAATCCATCATTTGTTAAATTACTCTGACTACCATTACTAGATCCAGGTTTTTTTTTACTAACTTGTGCAATCAAATTAGAATAACTAGTTAATTTCTGCTCAATTTCACTTTCTAATTGACGGACTTGTTTTCTTAATGCTTCCCATGAAGGTTGTTTTAACTCTATTATTGTTGAATAATCTGTTGAAGAGTCATTGTTATTAAATGAAGATTGCGAAAATGATGTTAAAGAAATAGGATTTTTTGATGTCATTTTTTTGAATATTAATACTGTTTAAAAAATAATTATATAAAATTTCGAAATATGCATAATAAATAATAATAATACGTTATAATGGAGTTTGATTTTATTTAGTACGGTGCAGATCAATTAATTGCTTGTTATTATATGGTTGGCTCAGTTTAAAGGCCTCACACTGCTGCGCCACGAACTCAAAAATGCAAATATTATTTTCCTCACTGCTAAATTTAGATATGCTGGTTGTAAACTAATCTAAATTTAGTAATGAAATCGCGCTCGTGAACATTGTAATATATAGTAAAATGAAAGAATATACAGTCAAACCTCGTCGCAGCGGATTTGATGGGACCAGCCAAAAAAATCCGTTGTGACAAGAAATCCGCTATGGTGATGATCATGATTGACAAAAAATTTTTTTAAATATAGCATTTTGAAATTTTGATCTTTGGAGAAGGATAATAAATCCTGTTCGTTATATTGTCTAAAAACTTTCAGTCATTTATTTGGAAACTTGGGATTTTGTTATTTGCAAATATTTGAACATACAATGTATTTAATTATTTGTTACTCACAAGCATTTGATAAATTATTTTAGAAAATTAAAAAATATTGTTACTCGCAAGCATTCGATAAATTATTTTAGAAACTTGGAAAATTTTGTTACTTATAAACGTTTGAACAAATAATTGAAAATTTTTGTTACTTAATCAAATAATCCCGTTTATTGTAAATCTGTAAATTAAAACAAATTTTGTTGCTTATTTTAGTAATTCGGATAATTTATAAATTTCTATGTCACGTGAATCCGCTGTGGTAAGATTAGTAGTCATATAGAAGGTTCCCAATCAAAAATCCGTTAACACTGTGACACGAATTTATTAATAAAATCTGCCGTGAAAAATATTTTTAATTAGTAAAAAAAGGGGACAAAATTTAAATCTGTTGTAACAAGAAATCTGCTGTGACGAAGTCCATTGTGACGAGGTTTGACTGTAACTATGTAACTCTACAACAAATATTTTTTGAGAAACTATTTTTATTACATTAAAACTAGAGACCTATTATATCAATTAATGAAGTTATTTTTTTAAAAGGTAGGACAGAAAGTGACTTTTTACTTTTAAAATCTGTGCAAGATTTAGGAGGTCTTTAAACTGAGCCAACTATATTGACAATTGGCCAACTTCAAACTTACCCATGTCTTTCCCTCGGCTCATCTTCTTGTTTTTCTCTTGTTGCTCTTTGTTACATTGTTTTTTATTTTTAAAAAAAATTATGCATTAAAAAAAAATTTTTTTAATATAGTGCAAGTCATTTATGAGAAGTGGCATCAATGCTGCAATATTGTGTTTTACCTTTTGAATGATTTTGATTAACTAATTTTCTTTGCTCTTCTGCTAACTTGGTATTTTTATTATAATAATTTCTTTCTACTTTGGCCTTGGATAGATGTTCTTTAAATCTTTTAAGCAAATCTTTAGCTTCTTCCTCTTGGTGAGCATTATAATGTAAACCATCTCTAAAATGTTGACAAGTATCACACAAGTCAGTCCTTGGACTCATAATTTGAATCTCTGGTGTCAATTGATGTCATAATTTTCTGAAAGCATCATATTTTAAAGTTTTCAAGTTACTATCTTCTTCTAGAACAGCCAGAAAATCTCTGTGCACAGATTTATAACTCATTTCAACTGGTAAAAATACAATTGATTGAGTTATTCTATTGGCACTTCTTCCTGGACTTGGTAATCCGTGAACTTCTGCATAATTTTCTAGAAAATTCTTTACTACTTCTGCAACATTTTTATCAATAACCATTTTAGTTTTCCATTGAGGCATTCTTTGAGTATTACCATGAACTCTTGGTAAAAGACCATTGTTTATCAAATGATTTCTAATGTTTTCAAAATAAGTTCTACCAATTCCTAACATATTAAGATGAGTTTCTTGACAAAGGAGTGTATTGTGATCCCAATGGTAGAAAGTTTTTTTATTAGACCTAGTTTTCTTTTTAAGGCATCTACTAGTGCTTATTGATCCACCATCCATTGCTTTAAGTTGGGCCATTAAAAATATGTCTTGTTCAGACTTGAAAAGAGCTTGGAAGGATTCTCTTAATTCTGCAAAATTTTCCTTAGGAATCCTGGAAGAACAACCACAATTACATCCTTTTTCTAAAAAATCAAATGCTTTTTGATATTCATTAGAACCATTATATTTACTATTACTTTTCATATATACACTTATTCCTATATATATAATTTTATGTTCACTTTGTAGGTTTTTAAAAATTGAGATGGAGAGAGAACCAAATATTTAAAAATCAATAATATTTTATTTTTATTAACAACAATTTAATAAAAATGGTTATATCTTTAATAATTATGTATTTTTCTTATTGAAAATGGTTTTCTCTGATAAGAGGAATTACAAATGAAACCTGAAAAGGACATGAATGAGGAAATTTGGTTATACTTATTCAAAAATAATATCAAAATTCATATGTCAGGGAACTTGAGATCTCTGCTATCTCCAAGATTGTCAAAAATTTGTCATTTTCATTCTTTGAAAGCAATTGTCGGGCTGAAAGATTTAATTTCGCCTTTTATGGGATAATACATTCATATTTGAGTTCTATGAGATAATAAATTTGCTTAATGGATAGAGATTTCACTAATTGCAGGTGAAAAGCATTTTGTTATCATATTATGTCAATATCTTTTCCTAGAGGGCTCCAAGTCAGATGAATGAAACAACAATATAAAAATAAGTAGAGTTCAGTTATAAGATAAATATCATTCTTTTTTTTCAAATATTGCCAATGATTTATTTCAAAGTGAGGTATTATTATTATAATAAAAACTTTATATGGAATTTTACTCACTATTGGTTTTATATATAGGAGTGTGAAAATATGACTCTAAATTGTCTTGTTATTCTTAATGTTAATGATATCCAAACCGAAATTTGGAACCTCCATTTAGTAATACTCCTTTGGATATTCATCAAATTTATTAGAGATGGAAAGATGTATGTGATCACCAGCTTCAATCTCTGATTTTTTTCAGAGGGAATTTTCTTGTAACTTCTACCACATTATTGCATACTCATGTGAATCACAAGATGAATAATCAATTTTTTTAATTTGTATTCACATTATAATGGTGATATATAATTTTTATTTCATGCAATAAGATAAGGTTTCTATATAATCGTGATTGATGTGGCAAAAAAAGTTTTTTTTTTTGACACAGTATACATGTTAAAAAATCACTAAAATGATTTCTTAATCAGTAAATGTAGTTATTGTATGCCAAAGAGTATTACAAAGTTTATGTAAAGAATTTGTAACTAAAAACAGACACATAAGTGCCAAAACTTCTATCCTCTGACTATTTAATATATTTCTCCATTCTAGTCTTCTTAGTAACTGGTGAATCATCTACAGTAACCCGGTCCCTCAACAAACCCACAATTACCCCCATAACCTTTTTTAAATTCTGGAGAAGTCCTCTATCATCCTTTAAAATATCTTCAGTGAGTGGAAGATGATAGTCTTCTTTCACACAGTAAATCTTTTCTGGTGTATACATGATGAAATGCCAATCCATAGCTAAGATAGAGATTGTAAGCTATCATTAATTTTTTAATTATATCAAACTTTGTAAATTAATCTTCTTCATAACTTACCAGTATTAACAACACCATAGAAGTAGTCAAATTTATTATTAAAAGCTTCAGATGCTTTTCGTTTTCTCATTTTTGTGTGGTATAAGCTATCAAGTTGCATAATATTTTGCATATATCCATTGGTCAAATCACTCTAATTTCCCTCAGTAATGCAAATAAGTTCTTCATCTAGGGTTTCAAAGACTTTTTTGATAGCATAGTCAACTCTACCTGTTGCTTCATCACCAGTGACTTCAAACTCAGGTTTCAGAGTGATTTTTTTTTTAGTGATTCTTTTAGCAATAATGAGACTTGCATGTAGTATTGTAGAAATGTACTCACAACACAAGGCTTCATTACTGCCTGTTTCTGAGCCTAAGTTGCCCATTTTACGTTTTTTATCAGTCATGCAATATTGTAAATCTTCATCATTGTCTTCAATTCTTTCCATTTCTATAAAGTATATATACATCAGGAAATTAATTTAGCGTAAACTTGCATAAATCTTACAGTGCTGACATAAGTTTTACATTTTTTTATTATTAAACTTACAATTGACATGTGTAAAATTTTTTTATATTTTCCGGATGTAGGTTAGCCCTTCCAAAAAAAACAAAAAAAAAAACAATAGGAAACTTGCCTGGTTTGAATTCTGGGATCTTTCTTATGTCTTTACCATCAAATTCCAAATTTCTCCAGAACCTTTTCAAAATCTTTCAGAGTTCTATATGATGAGTATGGCTTCAATTTTTTCTCTTTGACTTCTTGGCAAAGTCTGCTAGTCTTGACGCAGGTCCCATCTTTAAACCAGCTTCCTTAAATTCTTGTTTGGTCATCTGGAGAAAATCACGGCCAGTGATCTCTTCATTTGCAAGTATTTCAAAATGAGAATCATTAAGCTTCAGGTCCTCTTGCTCACGCAAAAATCCAATAAGTTCATTCGTATTATACTTTCGAACTACAGCTGATTGTGTGGGAGTGGATTTTTCCTCACTTGTTGTAGAAGTAGAAGCTTGTGTGGACATGATTTATACAATATGTGATAAAGTTTCTGGATTGTTTATAATAAAAAATTTTTTTTTGTATATATGTGAAAATTCAACTTTTATATAGTAATAGACATGTGATGTGTGACAAACCAGACACTGTTGCAGATCACAAAGAATGATCAACATAACGTATGTTATAGTGAAAGTTCTTGAAAAAGTTTGATTATAAAAGTGTGAGATAATTTTGATCTTGCTGATGATCTGGACTTAGAGAGGCTACAGCTATATTCTAGTGAAGTTTCAGAAGCAACGGGCTCTGTATAACCACCTGCCTATTATACAAATGACTGTTGGATGGAATGAGTGTCCATTATGCTCTGATTGTTACAATAAACCAAATTCATACATTTGTGAAAAAATTTCCAGAAATCCATTATTCTAGACTTTTGTAATATCTGAATGAAACCAGAGAAAATGCCAACAACCATTTAAAAGGGCAATATTAATATAGAGAAATTATTGTTTTTAGTGATTCCACTTTTATTGTGTTTTTCTAGTAAAATTATTCTTTATACAAATCATCAATAGTATTTTATGATATCAATACAAAGAGAGAATTCTTGGAAAAAGTGATTGGCATGAACAATTTAATTGTCATGATCAAAAAAAAATCTATTAATTAGGCTGATATCCAAATATATATTGCTTGTAACCGATTTATAATTAGTTATAAGTAATTATTAAATGGTTATTGAATCTTAACTAATTATTAATGGATCTGTTGTACGTGAAAATGAAATTATGTGAATTCGCAATTCACATATGTGAAATTCAAATTTACATACATGAAATTCAAATTAGCCAATCAGAATTTCACCCCACTCCATAATATTTCAATTTCACATACAACAAATCTAAACATTAATTGAATCATTTGATCAGATCTTAACTAAACCTTAAATAATTAATAATTAGACTTCTGTCATATCATAGTTCCAACATTCTCACATGATGCTCTGTTATTATAAACCCCATACATATGTGAAATTTAAAAAAATAAAATAACTTTATTGATGTTAATATGTATTTTTGCATTGCAAATATCCACACATGTTGTACAATATAGAGAACTAAGAAATAAGAAATAAGAATTCAATGATTCATTTTTATTTAATGATTTAATCAAGTAAAATACAAGAAAGATACAAGAATAATAATAGGTGATAATGCATCATTATGATGCTTTCTTTTTTTATGACATTTATTACTTTTCTTTCTTCTTGGTAAATTTCATAGGTATCCTTTCTTTTTTTAGATAAGCTTCCAGTGTTTGAGTATCATTTATTTTGAAAATGTAAGGAGCAATTTTTTCACCTTGTTCTTTCTTCAAAATACTTCTAATGGTGCTGTAATTTTTGGGTTCCATAGTAGATCTGATATAAATGAGTTTCATATCATTGTTTTTATATAGGGGAAATTCTATATGTATATCACTTAATATTAACAAATGGATCATTATAAAACTAAATGTGATGATAATAATAATAACTAAATTTTGAACCCTGAAATTTTTGGTAATACCAATGTTCACTTTGTCTGGTTTTGTTGCAGCATGCCCCATATTATTATTGCCGATTTTACAATTTATGAAATGACCAGGTAATATCACATGACCAAACAATTTTTATTGCATTTTTTATTGGAAATTTTTTTTCTCACAATTGGTGGTGTGGTGCGCTATTCAATGGTGGAAGCTCGAAACGTGATATCACATGAGTTATTGGTCAATACTAATACAGTGTGTTGCGAAAATAATTGCGCCATAAATTTTTTTTCTAAGAAAGTAAACAAAATCCAAAGCCACATTATAAAAATTATATCGAGGGTAGTAGAGAGATTTTCAATTATTACATGTAAAAATTTTGAACCATGTTATTATGTAGGTTATAGAGCAATGATTAAAAAACTTAAATTGGCAATATTATTTTGTATCGAGTTTTTTTTTTAATTCAATAAATGAATATCATGTGTATCAATTGAGTAATTCGATTTTTTGTGTGCGCAATTATTTTCGCAACACACTGTACATAAAGGAAGATCCACCACATAAAGCCTCCAGAATCACTAATAACTATTTGTGAAATGACGAGTTTATAGTTTTTGACCAATTTCCAATCCTATGTCCGTTAGTTTAGGTTAGTAAATTTCCTTTTTATTTACCTTGTAAGTGGTTTTTTCTGGAGACAGTTAGATTTGTTGATCAACCAACTGATATCAAATACCTCAATCCTTTGTTACAGTATGCCCCAAATATTTATATTAGAAAGTGTGAATTTTTCTATATATCTTATAATTATTATTATTATGATTATAATCAAATTTACAGCAGATAAATCATGAAGATAAGCATGGAGCATGGGAATTTAATGAATGGATTGGCTATTGTTACAAGATAATTCTTTATAAGATAATTATTACATGATTCGTTAATATTTACATAAATAAAATAATAATAACAATACAATAATTTTTTTTTATGTAAAAATAATAATAAAATATGATGATTAATTCAGAGATAAATGTAATGATTAATTATTTAACATCCTTAACATCACTAAGTTGAATTTCTGGTTCATCCTTCAATTCTACAAATCTTTCACGATACTTTTTCCTGCCAAAAATAAACAACCAGATTGCAACACCAAATCCAGCCAAACCAGCAAGTATACTTACAGCTATAATTATAGCATTCTTTGGATTCTTATTATCATCGTTATCATTATCATCACCATTGTCAGTACTATCATCACCTAAAAATTCTTTGCTTGTACATTTACCAAAATCACTTATTGGTAGAGTTGAAGCATTTTCTAAATCTGTAGTACAATTCTCCTTTGTGATCACATTTCCACTAACAGAATCAAAAAATCTTTCCAACCATGTGATCTTATAATTTGGTTGATAAGTTGGATACTGCACGGCTATTAAATCTTGTATGGCAATGTCAGGTCTAGATGAAGAACGTTCATTCCAATCGCTAAAACCTAAAGCATTTTTAGTTTTAGAAGTACGAAATACTAATTTATTTTTTATAAAGTATGGAGGAGGGTTTTCTTTGTCATTTGGATTCATATTATAATAGCCAAATAATTTACTCCAATACTCATATTTATCGTTGGGATACACAAGCTTTGTTTGGTCAATTACAATATGTGCAGATGCAATCATTTTTTGAAAATCTTGTATAGAACTTGTAGCGGATGTTTTTGTAATATCCAATGTAGTTGCACCTAAAATATTTATAGCATATATTTACTTTTAACGTATATATTTTTAAAAATTAAAATAAATAAAATAAAATAATTAAATATAAACCTGCGTCAATTGTTAAATTTGTATAATAGTTATTTAAATTAACACTATACTGATTTGTGTCATTATTATAAGCCACCCAAGCAATTTGTTTCTTTTTGTCGTTTGGAATGTTTGCAAGATTATTTTTATTACAAGTGTAAATGATTTTTAACGCATTTAAAGAATTCAAAGCAGTTTTTTCAAGATTATAGAATGAAGAAATAAATTTGATCCATTCTGATTTCTAATTAGAAATTAGAGCATTAGAATTAGAATTTCTTGTGAAAAGAAGAAAATTTTTTTATTATTAATGATAAAGACTCACTCTTATTGGTGATAAATCATCATCTATTGAAACAGAAACATCTTTTCCTGAATTTAAAGAGGTTCCATCAGTAAATACAACGTCTACATTTGTTATATTTAGGCCAAATGATTCTATCGAGTTATTTTTTTGTAGACATGGAGAAACAATAGTTGTGCTATTTGTAACATATTTTAATGTTGATTGAACTCCTAAAATCTAAAATAATATATTTATTTATTATATATGTTTATATTTTTATAAATAATGAGAATATCAAGAAGTTCTCACCTCTAAAAATGAAACAGTAGAGTTTTCTAAACCAGCAACATTTTTAACTGGTATTTGAATAAAAGCTTTAGCAGTATTTGGTATATTAGTATTGTTTGGTTTTGCGCTTGAACAATATAACACGTAAACTTCCTTAGTTTTTAAATTGGTTACAATTTTATAAGTATTATGATATTCTAGAGTGAAACCAAAATCAAGACCTTGTTCTATACATAAATGAAATAGAATATAATTAAAAACTGGTGAAATAAACGAGTAATAATAATAATTATTATTATTATGAGAGGCTAACCAGCTGCTGGTATTTTATCAGGAAAATAGTCAATTTGGTCATCACCAGTTAAACAATCAGACGTTACTGTTCTCACCATGAGAATGCATATTAATGAAAATATTAATACGTAACAACATGAAGGTTTGAATGTAATTTTCTTCATGACTCATAAAATTTTATTTATCATTAATAAAATTTTAAAAGCCTCGGTTAAAAATAAATGAAACCTTGTTTGTTAC